TTATTTGTTTTCTGTGTGTGATTCTTGTTTAGGTTTGTTAATAGGGTTATTTATGATAAGCTAGGAAGTTTTCCCATGTGATTTTTCTGAGATTTGTGAATACAGTATCCTTTTCCTTAAATATATGATAATGCTCCTTAAATTTAAAATTGCCTTTAAACCCGTTTGGACCCAGTGCCATTTTGCATGATAGATCTGTGACTACCCTTGAGATTTCTTCAGAGGACATATTATACATAGGTTTCCTACCTTTGCTTGGGTAAATGACTTTTTTTAGAAGACCATTTTGTTTAGGTTTTTACATTTGTTGATTCATAGTTGTGCTCATACTTTTTCAATTTAGTAACTATGTTTTCTTTTCCACTCATTTTTTCCATGATACTGGCTTCATAGGCCTATTTGCTTTTGGTAGACTTGTTCCAGTTTTATTAAATCTTTATTTTCTCAGTTTCTTTATTTCTATTTATAATGACAATGATATTTTTCTTTAAGGGTATAGATGGCCAAATCCTATAGGCAATAATGTTCTCTCTCTCTCTCTCTCTCTCTCTCTCTCTCTCTCTTTTTTTTCTCTCTCTCTTTTAAAGACAGGGTCTCCCTGTAGTCCCAGCTGACCTGGAACTCACTATGTACACCAGGCTGCCTGCCTCTGCTTCCCAAGTACTGGGATTAAAGGTGTGCATCCAGCTGCAATAATGTTCTCTTAATTTGGGCCGGGGGGGGGCGGGGGGGGATGACACAGGGTCTCATTATGTAGCCCTAGAACTCACTGTAGACCAGGCTGTCCTCAAATTCATAGAGATCACCTCCCTGTGACTCCCAAAGGGATTGGATTAAAGGCCTGGGCTATCACACCCAGCTCCCTTTTTACTCTTATAGGTAATTAGCAGATTTTAAAAAAAAATTTTGCCAGGTGTGGTGGCTCATACCTTTGATCCCAGCCCTCAGGAGGCAGAAGCAGAGATCAAGACCAGCCTGGTCTACATAGTTTCAGGCCAGCTGAGGCTACAAGGGAGACCCTGTCATAAAATGATCAAAAAAATTTTTTTCATAGACTATCACTGTTGCTATTTAATTTTTCTCTTTCTT